CACTTTAGCCAGACAAAGGGGTCAGCCATCTTGTATTCAAGACTCCATTTTGAATCCATACACACGCACACACACACACACACACACACACACACACTACTCCTTTGTGAGAACAAAGGACCCCATTCATACATCCTCCATCACATGCAAACACATCCATCTTCAATCATATCACACGGTTATTATTCATCTATTCCACTGTTTATTCATTTGACAAATTGTTAATTAAATGTTATAAAATTCAGATTTTTGTGTCCAGTAGCTTTGTTGTGTCGAAGAGAAGTCTCTGCTCCAAGGATTCTACAAACTTCAAGAAAGACTGATAAGAGTTTTGGATTCAATTTTTCCCCGGTAAAAGGGGAATGGTGCCCCGTATATCTAAGAATATCTTAATTAATTAATAAATCAGTAAATATTCCCATATTTACAGAATTTATTGAAGAATCCAAAAGTAAGTTGAAGCTTACTAATTGTTCGCTCCTAATAACCCCAACAGAAGAATGCTGCAAGAGTTTGTGTTTATGGAAGAACTGTTGAATGACCTTAAACTTCCTTTAAATCAAGGTGGCTGATTTTTAGTAAAGTTTTTAGAGAAGCATCAGTTTTGTAAAAACCGAGGAAGTTAAAATGTGACAACCAGATTTATAAAATCATAATCTAAATACTATTTGACATTTCCTCCACAAATCTGATAATGCAGTTCTACACAGAAGCAACATGTTATATGATTGTAATTTTTTTCAAATAATCACAGAATCGATGGATAAGTGAGTACATAACCCACACACAGGGGCGTGTCCAGGGAGTGGCCTGGGGTAGCACATGCCACCCTTGGAATCTAATTGGCCACCCCAGGTGCCACCACACTAATTTCCCTTTAAATAGGCTTTTCATTGTCTACAAAAGGCTTGAGGGTAAAACAAAAAAAGCATAACCATTGGTGCCACCCATGCACAAAGTTGTGCCTCACCTGGGCCACCCCATTTTAATAGATCTAGACACGCCACTGCCCACACATCTGAAATGAGTTAAATCTGGGAAAAGCCCTGACTACATTATGAGTCATGTGAAGCACATTTGTGTTGCCATTTAAACTCGAGCACATAAACGGACCCCATCTGTTCTCTAGAACTGATCCTAAAAGCAACAGGTGAAGAGAGACAGGACGATCTTGGTTTAGTATAACCATAACTATAAAAAACACATTTTATTTGATCATAATGACTGCTGAAATATAGCGACTGAAACAGTCGTCACTTTTCATGATGTGTATGTCTCTTTGTAAGCATTTTGCACAGTGGTATGAAGCTATGTCGCTGCATGTGCTCTAGAAAATTCTATTGCAGCTCTGCTCCCTGAAGCTTTGTGTGTGTCCCAGATTTTGTTTCTATCTCTCATAAAACATTCACAGTGCAGCAGACCTTCCTGCCTTCTGCTGGGGAGGCATGCCAGACTAGGATGGTAATTCAACACGAGCTGTCTGTCATCTCTTCACCAGGTCAGACGCAATCCTCTTGGACTACATCTTGCTGCTCCAATGCTATTCTGCTTTCTTACGCATCATTGTTGGTGCTCGTACTTTTAACATCTGGGGATGTTTAATCAAGTGTTTACGGCATGTAGCGACTGAAAGCTACCATAGCCTGATCTGTAAAAGGGTGTTTTCTTTTTCACAAAATGTCCTCAATGGTGATCATCAACAGGGAGTTTAGTAGCCCTTCCACGGTAGGGCTCCACTCCGCCCAGATCTGGTAGGACGTGTTCACATCCGGACAGCCAGTTCTTTTTTTCTTTTGTTTGCTTGCAACCAGTCGTTTCTTTCAGCCCTCATCCCAAGGTGGTCTGCTTTGAGCTGAACTGGTCCAACACTACAAACTGCTGACTGATTGGCTGGCCCAAATTCACGCCCACCATTAGGGGGAGCCTCTGATTGGCAGACAGAATCAGCGAGTGGGGGCTTCCCGCAGGGCCAGATTAACACGTTGTGCCCTGGGCAACAATATACAAGGGCCCCATCATCATGACCCAAGGATCACCATAATATGGTCACATACAGAATATTTTACTGTAATATGCAGTTGAATGCCTGACATCACGTAACCCGCTCAGGGTAACCTTTGACCCACCTCGTGGGGACTGACCAATGAAGAGAGGGTCTTAACTTGAGGCTCTGTCTTCATTGGTCAGTCTGCATGAGACTGACTCTCAACTGCTGCACTCAACTGTTTTGCCTTGGCCCCCAAAATGCCTTGAAACGGCCCTGGGTGTGTGACTGAGTTTTGAAGGTGATCTGAATTGTATCAAATGTATAAATATTACATGTATATAACTTATTGTTTTATACAGGTAAAAGCGTGTAGTGGAGATAAATCTACCTACATTTTACTTTTCAACACTTTGTTTTGTTTTCTTGTTTTTATTTAACTATTTTCCTGTCCTGTCTGTCTCTCATCTTCCTGCATCTCCTCTAAACTCTCCAGAAAAACTGCTGCCTGGATTCTTACCTTTTCACCTCATCAGTTACTTTTCAGCAGATCAAAGTGACCACAAAGTGGAGTGCGCATTTCGATGCTGTGTCAGTGAGGTGAAATCACCACAGCACAGGTGATGAGCTCCGCAGTAGCAGAGCTCTTCAGGCACAAATAAGACAGAAAGTAGAGAATATGAGCGGACATGAACGATCGTATGTTAATTATAGTTTTTTGGTTGCGCCACGAGAATGGACCGTGCGCTGGACTCAGCAGCCTGGAGCGCTGCGCACCAACGATCATCCCTCTGCTGCTCTCTGTGCTCTCTGCTCAAAAGTCCATGAATGATAAAATAGTCCATGAATGACAAAAGAGTCCATAAATGATGTAATATAGGTAGAAAACTTTTTCCAGCTCCCCTGGATGTGTAGGATATACAGCTCCCCCATAATTCGATCCCTGCTCCTAGATGAAAAACCGGACATTTTCATCAATACAAGAACACCCCCCGGACCACCGGACAGAGAGTGAAAAGCGGACATGTCCGGGGAAAAGAGGACATCTGGTCACCCTAGTTTAATATAAAGCGGGAAATTACAGATATAGTATTTTGCTCTTGCCCTTGCTGCCCTGGGCCTGGGGTTCGTGGACCCCTGGGCAATTGCCCAGTTGCCCATATGGTTAATCTGGCCTTGGCTTCCCGTATGCACAATTCATTATCATTCTGGATACTGAGGAGTAAACATCTTCTCTGACTGAAGCTGTCTCTCTCTCACTCACACGCACGCACGCACGCACACACACACACACACAGCGCTGCCAGGCTTGAGCTGCCTGCAGAAGGACAGCCACAGCAGTCTGGATGCAGAGTCTCCAAAAACAACTCTACCCATGGCCACTGTTGTTTAATTTAAGGGAGACACCACGGACTTCTCTGTGTGTATTTTGCCCCGCCCACATGCTCGGAGATTTCCATGTTATTAAGAAGTGTGTGTGAACAAACCCTACCGGTGCGGGACCCGGACCCGACGCTACCCAGCCCAGATCAGATCAGTCTCCTCCCTTTCTGGTTGGCTCATGGGTCCCCAGAAGAATGAAAAAATGAATGCAAGGGAATGGGGCTATAAAATCTATTTTCTAATCCGCTTTGCCTTACGCCCTGAATCACAAATATGTTGTACTTCAGTTTAAATGAAAATAAATTGTGAGTTTTTACTATACTTGTTACATACTTTTGGCTTTGTTAAAATGTGCAAAAATGTGTTAATAGAATGACTACAAATCAGACATTGCCCATATGACATCACCGCATAATCTCACTTACTTACCACATGACCAGATTGTTTGTACTGGTTTTCCCCATGTTGCTTCTGTTGTCTTGGACTCTAAACTCAGACATTTTCTTCTCTGTGTCCAGTTCGATGACATCTATATGGTGAGATGCATTTGTAGTCCAACATGCCTTTTCACACAAAACCTATAAAAAAGTGTGCTGCTGTTTGATAATAAGCTCTTTCTTGGCATCAAAATGTGTCTTTGAAATTTGCGGCCATATGTGAAATCCATGTCACAATCGGAAAATCACTTTTATAGCCTCATTGACTTGCATTTGTTTTTCTCATTTACGGGGAACCATGGTCTGGAAGTAGATGGGTGTGACTTTACCACTTACTACACCTTTAGTTTAAACGTGGCCAGAATCACAAGCTAACAGTCGCCACAAGGCCAAGACAGTAGATTTCTGTCTCCTTGGAAACAACTTAAGTTTCATGTATTTTATAGTTATTTTAGCAAACATGTTATAAACATTTACACGGTTGCCTAATTTGCATTTGCAGTCAATAACATTTGCAAAATGACCCAAGAAATCTGTCATTAATTTTGAATTACTTTTAACACAACACCGACTGAACTGCAAAGGTTTCTAAAATTGAATGAAGTGCTCCAAATAATTATTTTTAAATGAAATTTGTTTAACACCAGTCCACTTGGCCTAGCAGTTAGCTCATCAATCGGGACAAAGTTTAATTATTTATCTGAAATGAGGCCACTCAAAGACCTTTCTACAATAAGTTTGACTTTAATTTCTTCGAAAGAACTGGATTGTTCTAAAAAAAAGCTCTAAAGGTAAATGTTTGGAGATTTGAAGAATAAAATGTGTGATTGGACGAATTATTGGTGGCAAATTAATGACTGTATAAAGATATAACTGGTAACAGATGTCTTCTGAGTAGCACTTTTCTAATCAACGAGTCATAAAAATGAGTTTATAGTGCTAAAACATGTGGAAAAGAACAATTATGTTTTAGACTTAATCCTGTATTTGGTTCAATCCAACCGCAACAAAACCAGAGTTAGTTCTGATATTCATTTCCAAAGATTCAAGGTAAAAACAGTTTTAGAAAATCATACAGATACAATGTAACCACAGAATAATCAAGCTTTTTGAATATTTTAGCATTTTTTGGGTGTATAATTAAGTTTTGGTCAAATATAAAAAAAATCACACCATTTCCACATTAACACAGAGAATTGTGCATCTCAGTTTGATTTATTTAATGAGTACAAAAGCAAAAGAAACAAACATCCCAATCTCCAAGCAAGCAGGAAGTCTACTGGATGAAATTGACTAAACATAATCCACCACATGAACATTTGGAACTTTATTCAGTTTGATGATAAACAAATGACATTTAGCAGCAAGTTTTAACATCACTTTATGGCTTTGATGCTTTGGATGTTAAAGGCACAGACATATGGTTGAGGGTACACAGGGTCAAAGGTCACCAGCAGGAGTAAGAGAAAAGAGGGTACTGGCTCCAGTCTGCTGCGTTGCCGTGGTAGCCCTGCTGCTGGCCGAGTGGGGGAGGCGGAGCATGGAAGAGGGGGTCAGCTGGATCTTTAATGCCAGAAGGTAACGGGAATCTGGGAAGAGAGACACGTCGCTGTCAAAGCTCATGCAGCAAATTAAAATGTGTAAAACATTTCATCATTCACGATCATATTCAAACCTGTTTGGTTGGCATGCCGTTGATGAGGGAACCATCTGTTCCTCACAGCTGAAGTCACACTCCTGCAGCTCCAGGAGCTCGGTGTGTAGACTCTCAGATGAGTCCAGCTCCTGGACCCATGCTGCATGGTGACCCCCTTTCAGTGTCTGTGGTACAGAGGTCTGCTTCGCCTCTGCCTGAGAGGTGGAGGGCATCCTCTGCAGGTCTGATGGAGAAATACAATCCTCAATTCAGAGAACTTCTGCTGCAATATTCCTCTTTTCTGTATGAATTGAACAAGATTTATTTATGAATACCTGGAGAGCTGCTGCACAAAGTTTTCCTGACTTTTGTCAGTCTTTTAACAGGAGTTTTGCTTGAAGGCCTAAATAAGTCAAACGTGTCATTAATGCCCATCTGAATGTGATATCGCACATAAAAAACAAAACAGAAAATCCATAACACTTATTGTCAATTCACTGTACTGTAAACGTATTTACATCCACATTTACTGTTCTTCCAGAAGTAATGGTTTAAATATCTTTTGAAAAACTTATTTTAATGCAGATGACCAAACCTGGGGTCCCCGATCAAGGCAATATTCTTTGATCAGTATGGTGACACCCCTGTTGTTGCTATTGTTGACCTACTTTGGGTTCAACCCTTTGATGCATGATGGTCACTACAGTGGACAGGTACTCAAAATTGTTATTTATTTGTTTTTGCTACTAAGCACAACTGTTGAAGACTTTATTGCAATTGAGCCCCTCCATTTGGACTTCAGTAAGCCAAGCCAACATGTTTCATGTTCAGAATGCACGATGTCCACTGAGGCGGACATTTAGTAAATTATAAAATTTTACAAAAAATATTTGTTGAAGTTTCATTCACACCTAAAGATGAATGAAAAAAATTGTGAAAAATCATGGTTGAAGATTTCATAATTCATGTATCAAAGGGTTAATAACAGCTTTAACGCTATAGCAGCGATGCTTTGCTCGGCGAGAGGACAGAACTACTTTCTTCAGGAACACAGGGAGATTCAAGGAGACCAAACAGCAAAAATGTCATGACCACAATTGATTAAAATCTCCGAGGCAGATTCACTTTTCTTCATTTTCATTCGAGACAAAATTCTCAGCTTAATTATGAACACAATGTCAAATAATCAGCGAAAGCGTAGTTTTTTTTCCATTTGCAGTGTGTTTTAATCATTGGACACATTGCTGAAGCAGGTCAGAACACTGCATAGCGCTGAATTCACACCGTTTTCAAATGAGTTAATGAACACGGCCGAAAAAGCGACTCATCAATGTAGCCGGCGCTTTTAGAGGTGAGATTCACAGAGAAACATTTAATACTTGTTCCTTTTGAAATTACCATCAGCCGCTCTGATTTTCAAATGCAGGCTGAATGTGAAAAATGTGAAAATAGTCTTCAGGCTCTAATTATTTATTTAACTCAACCTTTGTTTAACCAGGTGAGTCGATTGAGAACTCATTCTCATTTACAACAAGAGTTCTCATCTACAATATGTACAAGCAATCAAAACAGACCTAAAAAAAAGTAGTAAATACTCAGAAGGACGGCATTAGTCTCCAATAGAAAATAAACAGGAACATTCGGGTTTGAAAAAGCCACACAGATGTGTGCGGACTCGCCCCTTTTCATCTCATGAACGCAGAAGTCTGTTGATTAGCCTTCAGGAGAGAGCAGAGTGTTTGGCTAAAAGAAGCTAACTGTTAGCAACATGGCAGAACATGTTCAGGCTTGAGTTTTTTGTGGGGATAAAAATATCTTTGTTGCAATTTTAATTCAAGAAAGAAGAGCGAATGGAGGCAGTGGAAGAGTCCCGTTGCTGTTAGCCAATCAGATGAGATGTTCGCATATCATGACTATTAACAAGTAGTGTTGTCACAATCAGTCAGTTTCTCACAATTGTTTGTCACAATGACGTCGACAAACAATTAATTCAGTAACCAACGTTATTGTTTATTTTATGAAATTTTTTTTCCATCTTGCCTTTCTGCTCAAGGCACATGTGCAGTGGTGGCCATCTGGGTCAGCCATTGCCTAACCCCAACTCTCCTTTTCAATGGACGATTTTGTTACCAAGCCATCAACATGCACACCATATTTATAGAAATAACAAAAGAAAGCCCACTTTAATAACAGCTGTGGTTTATGGATCTAGTTGTGTGCAACTTTTTAAACAAACATCAGAGACCATAAACATCAACAATTGTTTACAATAATCTTAGAAATTGGCTATTGCACAATTAACAAGACAAACCATCTCCCTATGCTGGGATCCTCCACAGGAAGTCCCATGCATCAGTTTTAATATATTCAGCATGTGTTATAGATATTACCAAATGAATGGGAACAGTATTACGGACAAAACATTTGACCTGGACCTTCCTACCTTTCATGTTGGGAACGGGGGCCTCCCCTTCTAAATCCCTTAGCAAATGGATTATGATCAATCTTTAGCTTGGTAATCTAAAGACAGGAGAAGAAATCAGAAACATCACAGTTGATTTAAAGTTCTGAACATAACCACGTTATCAGTGCGAGTTTGTTTTCTTTAGAGCTAGTACCTTTGGGTTCTGGTAAGCAGTGACTGCAGTGAAAACCGTTTCTGGGAAGGTGAAGGTCTGAAAAGGGCTCCAGCGTACGGTGTATGGACTGTCTGCAAGAATCACATGAAACCGTGGCAGGTAGCGATGCATGGAGTGAAGGATGATCTGATGAGCAAACAGAACAAACTTTAGCAGAGCATTAAAACAAAACATGGTCTAACTAGAGAGATGTTTTACGTGGCCATGCTGATCCAGCGTGTTGTTTGTGAGCTTCATCTTTTGGAAAATTAAAGACTGCCTCATCCAGTGGCTCCCAACAGCGGGGGAGTCGGGGTGTATGTATGTCCGACACGGGGGCTGGGGCTCTGAGTTTCCTGCAACCTCCCACTGCTTCTTCTTCCACTACAGAAGAACAGAGGGGGGAGGAATGGGTGCAGCGTTAACATGTGTGAGACCTCAGGAAATCCTTGATTAATCAGAATCCACCAACAACACCAGGATCCTTTTCTTCTTCAACACTACAAGACTAACTGAATGCATGAATCTTTTTCTTGCATTGATCAGTTTCGTTAAAGGAAAACATCTTTTCAAATAATATTCCACTTATTTCTCCAGAGGTGCTTTACTTTATTTTCCATTATTTCAAAGTGAGTGTTACAAACCGTTATAAGAACCAAACAGGCCACAGAAAGTGATGCTGGATCTGTGGACTTGCTCCTTGCTCATTGACTGCAAATGAGGAAGGATGCTAATTGATTGGGTTTCCAGCTGGGAGTGCACTAACAGGAAGCAGTGAAAGGCTTTGATATGCAGCAGCGAACGGCTTGAGCCAGACTAGGGCAGACCCGGTCTGACTGCAGGCCCATGTCTTTTACATTCTGCAGGTTTGTTAGAAATCACCATTAAAGCATCTCCTCATACCTTGTATTTGAAGCTGTCCACAGGAATGACGTCCACCATGATGACATAACTCACAGACGGCTGGAGCCCAGATAGTCTGATGCTGCAGTGTGGGAACATTCTCCTGGAACAAATTCACAAAATCAGAAATTATGCAATGAGTAAATATTGTTTGTGTCACCTCAACAAAACCAGAACAATTCATTAAAATTTGACTTTTGGAACCACTTTTGACAGCAATACCTTCCATGCTTTGTTATGATCATTTCTGTTCCAATTTTGTGAAAAGACTTCCAGAGCTCAGAGTTTTCCAGAGTTATCCTGATGGAGCCATGCTGGAACGAGTGAGCTGAAGATGGGGACGGGGGCGTGCTTCCATTCAGCTGGAAGTCTGTGGATAATGGAAAACTATCACAATAAAAATATAAAGTTTTTCTTCTTACTTAATTTGTTGCATGAACCTTTTCACTACTAAAGTTTAGGTATGAAACAACACTGTTTATCAAATGCAAGATTTGAATGTTTTGAACAAGAACCTCACCCTGTTGATTCAAATCACTCAGTAAAGCTGTTAAACATTGTAATTTTGTGCATCGTTTCAGAAAAAAAAGACACCAAAACAAGGGAAATTTAACAAAATGTAAATACAAGCCAAATAATTTTGATCCCGTTTTATTGTAGAACGTGGCTGAAGTACATTAAACGATCTTGCTCACCTGAGATGTTGGGCATGTTTCCTCCACTGGCCACACCACATGGAAAGAAACCAGTGCTTTCAAATGGTTTAACCTGACTGGGATTCTCCAGGTTTCTGTCCTGGAAGGAAGGGTCTGAAAGCTAAAATTGATTGGTTATCCCAGGAAAAAGGTGTGGTCTAACCAACTCTAGGGGGTGTATTTAAGGAGGAGACAGAGGATACAGGTTATCTTTGGTTGTTTGCCCCCTCATAAAAAAGCTAAACCAAAAACTACTAAATTAGTCACTTCGGTGCAGATTGCTGATTAAATTATTTCTTAATACATAAAATATTGTTAATGATGTCTTGTCACGTTTAGACTCCCAAAACATCAACAGGATGTGATTTTGCACTAAGGAGATGAAAGAGAAGTCTCAGCTCAGTGATCAGAGTTTAAAAGAGTCTGGGGGGGATAAACGAGCCTCTTCCATGCAGCCCTGAATGTGTAGAGAACACGTGAGATTACAGAGAGGTTATTGGAGTTCAGGTCTGGCCTCGACAATGACTGACCCTTCTTATCCTCACTCCACTCCCACCTAAGTGCCCTCGGCATCTTAAGTAACGAGGAGGATTGACTTCAGCAACAGCTAACAGTCAGTTCACCTGAGAGATAAAGACCTCACAATAAATTGTGGCAGCCATCTTGAATGGAGTTGACTCCAACCGTTAGGCTACATGGAGGCACAGCTTTTAGCACTGCTTCTTCCCAGCAAGAAGGTTGGTGGTTCAACAGCTTTTTGCCTTTTGGCAATCCACCGAGAATGGTCCCAGAGAGACGAAGACACAAAATCAGCAGTAAAGAAATGGCCATGGTGAGAGCCTATCTCCAACCCTTTTTGGCCCGTGAGCTGCTTTTACACAATAGAGAAGAGCTACTGCCATATCTTTGGTATGTTCTTGCTGCGTTGCTCTTCTAACTGCATTGCTGGTTCTTTTTTTAAAACACAGAAAAGGTTTCTTTTTACCTTGCTGTTTCATTTGCGGCTGCAAACTTCCTCAAAGCTGACGCATTCCGCTTGCTGAGAGTATGCTTTACAGGTTGGTTTTGAGGACATTAAACATCTCCAAGTTTGTGACACAGATTATCTTGCATCTGCATCTCCGATTGCTGAGATGCCAAAACCTGGAGCAGCTGGAGTAGATTGTGTTAATGCCCTCCTCCATTACATTCATTTTTAGTAACTTGTTGATACCTTATACAAAGAGCATCACATATTACAATGCAAATCTTTAAATTTTAACAAATTAAATGTATCAGTGGGCCCTTTAAGATAGTAACCAAATCTCATCTGTATTTCTGGGAACCTTCATTGAAATGTCAAAAGAGTTGCCAGTTACTTGATCTGAAATGAGAAAATTACAAGTTCTCAAATAAATAAATAAATAAATAAACAAAAGAAACCAAACCATTTAACACCTAATACAACTTTGTGTGGTATTTAAGTCTATGCGTTGACAAAACAAAATTTAATAGTAGTTCAGCAAAGTTGTTAAAAGGCAAAAATACAGAAAAGTTGATTTTAGTCACAGCAGAAAAAAAAATGTGCACCTTTTCTGTTTAGAGCTTCTGTTGGCAGCGATGTCCTCACTGAAAAGGAACAGAGGGGAGAAACATGACCTGACCTGACCATTGATAGTTCTAAGTTGCTGGTAGGCAGTCTTTAACTGCAAAATGTAAGTATGGCCTGAATATATTTGATAAAGATAAAAGGAAAAAAAATACACAACATCTCTGCTCGATGGTTCTGTTGGCACCAGCATTCTCCTTGCAACAAGAACTGCAAAATAAAATAAAATAAAATAAAATTCAGTTGGATTAGAGCAGGGGTCCCCAATCCTGGTCCTGGAGGGCTGGTATCCTGCATGTTTTTAGTTTGAACTCTTCTTCTTCTTCTTCTTCTTCTTCTTCTTCTTCTTCTTCTTCTTCTTCTTCTTCTTCTTCTTCTTCTTCTTCGAGTTTAATGGCGGGTGGCATCTAACTGCTAGGCGCATTTCCGCCACCTACTGTGCTGGAGTGTGAGTCGGAGAGTTTGAACTCTGTTTCAACAAACCTGATTTCAATCAGCAGCTAAGTAACAGGCTTCTGCAGAGCCTGATGAGCTGCTGCACAGGTGTTTCAACCACTGAATCAAGTCTGTTGGAGCAGAAAAATCACAAAACCTGCTGGATACCGGCCCTTCAGGACCAGGATTGGGGACCCCTGGGCTAGAGACAATTGCAATGGTGCTCTGTACCCCACAAAAGTAGTAGAATTGAGCTGAGGTGCATTCTGTTTCCACTCATCATCCTTGAGGTGTTTCAGCAGATTAATTGGGGTCCACATGTGGCAAATTAAGTTGATTGGACACGATTTGGAAAGGCACACGCATGTCTATATAAGGCCCCTGGGTTGACAGTGCATGTCAAAGCACAAACCAAGCAAGAAGACAAAGGAATTGAGTGTAGACCTCTGAGACAGGATTACCTTGAAGCACATGGCTGGGGAAGGTTACAGAAAAACTTTCTGCTGCTTTAAAGGTTCCTATGAGCACAGTGGCCTCCATCATTTGTAAGTGGAAGAAGTTTGGAACCACCAAGACTCTTCCTAGAGCTGGCCGGCCTTCTAAGGTGAGTGAATGGGGAAGAAGGGCCTTGGTCAGGGAGGTGACCAATAAACCGATGGTCACTTTGTCAGAGCTCCAGCGGTCCTCTGTGGAGAGAGAACCTTCCAGAAGGACAACCATCTCTGCAGCAATCCACCGATCAGGCTTGTACGGTAGAGTGGCCAGACAGAAGCCTCTCCTTAGTAAAAGGCACATGGTAAGCTTGCCTGGAGTTTGCTAAAGGGCACCTTAGGGACTCTAAGACCACGAGAAACAAAATCCTCTAGTGTGATGAGACAAAAATTTAACTCTTTGGAGTGAATGCCAGGTGTTACGTTCAGAGAAAATCAGGCACCGCTCATCACCAGGACAATATCATACCTACAGTGAAGTATGGTGGTGGCAGCATCATGCTGTGGGGATGTTTTTCAGCGACAGGAACTGGAAGACTTCTCAGGATAGAGAGAAAGATGACTGCAGCAATGTACAGAGACATCCTGGATGAAAACCTGCTCCAAAGCACTCTTGACCTCAGACTGGGGCGACAGTTCACCTTCCAGCAGGACAATGACCCTAAGCACACAGCCAAAATATCGAAGGAGTGGCTACAGAACAACTCGGTGAATGTCCTTGAGTGGCCCAGCCAGCGCCCAGACCTGAACCCCATTGGAAATCTCTGGAGAGATCTGAAAATGGCTGTGCACCGACACTTTCCAATCCAACCTGATGGAGCTCGAGAGGTACTACAAAGAGGAATGGGCAAAACTGCCCAAAGATAGATGTGGCAAGCTTGTGGCACCATATTCAAAGGCTGCAATTGCTGCCAAAGGTGCATCAACAAAGTACTGAGTAAAGGCTGTGAATATTTATGTTCATGTGATTTCTCAAGTTTTTTTTATTAAATTTATTAATATTATATTTATTAATAAACATTTTCAAGGACATTTTTTCATATTTTCATCATAGGGTGTTGTGTGTTAAATTTTATGGGCAAAACGAATTTAATTCATTTTGGAATGAGACTGTGACATAAACAAATAAGTGGAATAAGTGAAGCGCTATGAATACTTTCCGGATGCACTGTAGGAGTGAAAGACCTCTAAAACAGAGAGAGTCACCATGGTGAGTGTCTCGCTCGTTTTGTCAACTTCACCTACCGGTTACTTGTATATTCCAGCGTTTGTGTGGCATTAATTTTGGGGGACTTGCATTAGACACTTTGAATCAATGCAAGTAATGCATGGCAGCCATTTTTTAACACACATTGGCATTAAACAGCAAATATCACGGCCCTTATCCTTAAAGTTAGAATTCTCTTTTTTTTTTCTATTAGATTTTATTTTGTGAGTTCATTCTTTTTCTTTTTTACTTAAAAAAACATGACCCCCCCTCCCGAAAAGGTAAGTAATGTTGATCACCTTTCGGGATATTAATCAACCTTGCTTTATGATTAAAACAACAGACAGAAACACAAACCAGGAAAACAAACTACATCTGATCCACAAGGCTTCACATAATCCAGCCTGAAAAGGTGAGCTTGGAGACCATGAGTCCTCGGATCTCAGGCTCAGACGGAGAGAGATTCTATTCTTCATACTACAACCATTATCAGGCAGCATTCCTGCAAAAACAGTCATGTGACACAAAGCAGCATATTAATAACCTTACAATAAAAGCACTATAAAAGATTTAATGTGATTTGGCTGATATTTCTATAATTTACAGTGTGAAACCAGGGTATAGAGAAACCTGAAATCTTCAGGGATCTCGTGATGCACACAGTACTGAAGTATTCACATTTTTGAGCTCTTAGAGGTATTTTTGAAAGTGATAGACTTGGTGCCTCAAGAAAAGACAAGTTGAAACACTTCTGATCTGCTTAAATCAAACTTAGACTTGAAGGTGGAATTTGTTCTGTTCCTGCCTGTGGCGTGTGTCACCTCTGCAAATATGCAACAGCATCTACTGATGATCAGGCTGAGCAGTGCTGTGGCACCAATGTTAGTTTAACTTAGCAAACTATTGGATTTGACACTTCAACCAAACTTTCTGATGTGCTGATCTGGAAGACAAAAGAAAGGTGCAGCTGTTTGGTGAAGCTCCTTCTGCATGACATTTGCTCTACTTACTCATTTGGTTGCAGTAAAAATATCTTTTGACACAGGAAGTGCGGTGGTTTTAGCATGTTAGTCCAAGTTGCAGCTGGAAGATGCAGAGCACGATCCGCTTGTTCAGATGTGGCAGTGTGCTTGGTTCACCGCTTGGATGCAGTTTAAACACAAGTGGGAGGGAAATCCTGTCGTTTTCAAGGTGTTCATGAGAAAATACATTTTATTTCAATACAAAAAGGTGTTTTTATGCTAGTAGAACAAAAATTTGAGTCATGAAATGAAGTGATAACAGATGCGTCATGGAAAATGACAGTAAGGTTCAAGAAGAACTGAGATACTTCCTAAAAAGGCAATATATGTGTGTGTGTGTGTGTGTGTGTGTGGGGGGGGGGGGGGGGGGGGGGGGCAAAAAGCAATGAATGAAGACATTTTTAAAGTTAAAATTTAATGTAGCACAAAAATCTAAAATTACAAGCTGCTGTTCAAAAAAGCAGGGATAGATATAATAGTAATGATAATAATAATAATAATAGTAATAGTAGTAATAATAATAATACATCAAACTTATATGGCGCCTTTTAGGACACTCAGAAACGCTTTCATGCACTCTCACATTCACACACTGCCAGTGATAGTAAGCTACTACGTAGCCACAGCCACCCTCAGGCAGTCTGACAGAGGCGAGGCTTCCATTTGGTGCCGTCGGCCCTTCTGACCACCACCAACACAGGCAAGTTGGGTGAAGTGTCTTGCCCAAGGACTCAACAGCAGAATACCCTTGGTGGGAGGTGGAATGATGGATGATGAGGCAACCCGCTCTACCTCCTGAGCTACTGCTGTCTATATATATATATATATATATATATATATATATATATATATATATATATATATATATATGTATATATATATATATATATATATATATATATATATATATATATATATATATATATATTAGATTGTGATAATAACTTTCAGAAGTGGACAAGATATGGAATGAGATGAAACCACAATTAATTTTAGTTTCCTTTCAGTTCTGATTTGCCAGCATCACCCCCTACTGGACTACTCTGTAAAAAGCAGCTATCAAGAATCATAAAATATAGAAAACTTAGAGATCATGCTGGAAACAGAAAGTCTGTTCCCAGTGGTTTAAATTCTGATTATGCAGGGCGGCTCAGGAAAGCACACGAACCATCATTTTACGTTTTTGTCGAGTCAATCATTAAAAAGTCCTTTTTTTATAGTTCTATAATGTATCCAAATATTTTACCCTATTTTTAGTGGAGTGTCTTTTCACAGTGTCTCTTATTACTCATTGTGTGGTAATAAACTGCTCTTTATTTTGCTCATTAAAGTTCCAGTTTTGTGCAGATTTCAGGAAAAACATCACACTCCCAGGCTGGAGGATGGATTAATAATTATTGGTGCACAGAATCACAGACAGACAACAGCTAAAATCAGACTAAGTAATTAATGAAATGCTGAAAAGCCACTGCAGAGGGAACTATAGAGACACATGTGGCTCCAGAGGTTGCAGACCCGCCTGTCTGTTAAATCAATATTATTATGAAAAGCAAAAAGCTGAAAAAATATTATGATGGGATCAATTAAATACCAAAAAACTTAAATATTCAAATATGTTTGCACACTTTAAAAGTAAGATTCTAACATAAAGCCCTGGTGAGAATGCCACGTTTTTCATTTTAAATATAAAAAATGCTACTTACTAAAAAAAGATGAAGGGGAATATAGGAATTGATTAAGTAATAACAGAGCTGAACAAAGATTGTGGAAGAAGAGAATGATGAGGAGGAAACCTCTGAGAATGAAGCGCTGAGACTGAAGGAGACAGCCATGAATAAATATTTAAGTAGGACGCTGAAAGAGAATTTCTTAAAATACAAATACAATAATTTATAGAGGCAGATTATAAAATAAAAACATAGTCCAGAACTGTAATTCACTTTCAAAGGTTCCACAAAGGATTTATTCATAAATAATACGTCTCGGACAAGTCAGTCATGCAAAATCCCTCCCTCCCCCCCTCGTGTCTTTGAACCACCAGAAAACCATGTATCTGACTTGAAATCCCTGCAGGTCTCCACAAAGCTCAGACTGCCATAGAAAACATTATAGTCCAAAGAAACTGTGAAAAAGCTCAGAGTCCGAC